AGAATTTGTAAAGTAAATACACTTTAATGTGTGAGTATTCTTAAAATTATGTTCTGGTTATTTTCAGATTTTGTAAACAGAGCCACTTTTAAACTTGAATTGCAAGAAAAAGCATTGAAAAAGATTCAGTCTAAACGCTTAAATTAAGTTTTGTTTATATATTTAGATATATGGATGTAAAATTATTTCATAGAAAATATCTAAAGATCTCTCCCTCATATAGCAACTAGTTGTTCATTAACATATATTAAATGGAATATATTTAATATAAATATTTCCCAGTTAAGTATAAATGATGTAATCTGGTAAGTTGGCATGAAGATATAATATTTTTCAGTAAAAATTAAAGTTTAGATTTGAAGTTTGATTTTCTACATGACGAACGGGATCATTGATATAAACTTTGTTATATTTGTTCAAGCACACAAATGACTTACAATGTGAATATATAGTTAAAATACAAATCCATTTAATTAGCAAATATTTAGTAGTAACAAATCATTCGCAAGCTCATGGGAAAGTGTTATGGGGGGTGGAGTTTTATGTTCCACGATAGGCAAATTTAGGAATAAGAGCTTTAATTGTACACCATATGTAAAAGAAATACTGTATAAAGAGTCTGAAAGTCACTCTCGAAATTAAATTAATTTTTTTGAAGTATAAGAGAGGAAATCCTTGGAACATGAGCAGTTTTTCCTTGTTCAGTGATGAGTGCAATCGCTATGCAAGTGGTGCCTCGCAGCAAGACAAATGGCGACGTAAGGCCTCAAGTGTCAGGAGGATTTTATTTATGTCCGTCCCAGAGGGGGTTGTGTTACAAATTGTGTGTAGCCCTCTCTGCGCCCCCTCTAGTGACCCCTAACCTGTCAGTGCCCTTAAAACCTTGGTGCAATTTCAATGTGTTCGTGTGCAATTAATTATGTGACGTATACACAGAGCCGTGTGATGTTATACAAGTTTTTAAAATAGTAGAAGCGTCTTTTCTTTAAAACCCTCTTTTTCACCTTCAGGTAAATCGAAGCTAGCTCAAGGACTTGTGAACTATGAATTTTCGTGAATAACCAATCACTGATATGCCTGATTTTAATAAACTCTTTCGCTCTTTAGCAAGAGCAAAAGTCATTCAAAAGAGTTCGTTATGCATCTCTACCTCAAGCCATTCTTCAGTTTACCCCGTGTATTTCCAACTATTTAGGCTTCTACCGAATGGTGATAATTTGAAAGATGAATAAATGTCAGTATCACCAGTGCTGAAGGTGACAATATTGCCACCTACAACTAAAAATTGAGAAGAACATTGCCATAGCTAAAGGTGGCAATGTGGCAACGTTCAACTGAAAAGTTGAGAAGAGTTACGCCAGTGCTGAAGGTTACAATATGGCTATCTACAACTGAAGAGTGTACCGCAAGCCTTGAACTAAGTGTTTGAATTTGATGGTAAAATGATTAATTGCATAGTTTGCACTTTTTGTCAAAGAACTTTATGAAATAGGTAATTTATAAGATGTTTAAGTGAGCAGTTGTGTTAAGTTAGTTCCCCTTGTATCACTTTGCCCATTATTATAAGCCAATTTTGGGACAAACAGTACTTGAATATTTAATTTTGCCTTGTCTAGCCTTTTTAAATATTAGATATTATTTTCTTCTTCAGATATTCATAGGCAATCAATAATCTTCATGGTAATATACATCCATTTAATTAAATTAAATTCTTCCCTTCTTGGTACATTACTTCTTGTAACTAATTATTTTCTAATATAAATAAGAACAGTTTTACTTTTGTCAGTAGACTTGCAAATATAGGACCGCACTGGTACCCCAGGGCTCGGATTCGAGTTGCCAATTTGGTAGCCACAGCACACTTGAAACTCGTTCTGGAAATATGTCCAGAAAATAATAGTAACTGGTAATAATTATTTTAATACTAGAGCATTTTGTAATATATTCATACCTTTCACATCATGTGATTTCCTAACCAAAATAATCTTGAAACATTCCTATGACAATTAATTGTTTCTTTACATTTTAATTTAACAGTTTTTCAAGGTGAAGTTATATAAAATCATCACACAATTATTAACTAAATACATATTAACATCAATTAGGCTGCCTGACTCATATTTAATTAATTTCAATATTTGTGAAACATTTGTGCTTTTTATACAATCTGTAACAGGAAATTAACTTTGTATTTACATTACAATATTACACTTTGTGATGACTTGCAAAAATATAAATTATACAATTTTTGGCGATATAAGAGTCACAGTTGATTTGCAGGATTGCCAACAGTTTAGAGTGATTTGCTTTTCTTAACCAAACAACAAATTATTTCATGTACTGTATTTTATCCTAAGAGGTCATTGCATTTATTCTATTTTAAAATAATGAAAAATAAAATATTACTTACCTAGTAGTACAAGAGTTAAGGAGACATTGCCAGTTCTGAGTGTGACAATATGGCTGTCTACAGCTGAAGAGTTATGTAGACTTCACCAGTTCTGAGGGTGTTAATATGGCCGTATACAACTGAAGAGTTATGGATACATTGCCAGTTCTGAGGGTGTTAATATGGCCGTATACAACTGAAGAGTTATGGATACATTGCCAGTTCTGAGGGTGACAATATGGCTGTCTACAGCTGAAGAGTTATGTAGACTTCACCAGTTCTGGGGGTGTTAATGGCCGTCTACAACTGAAGAGTTAAGGAGACATCGCCAGTTCTGAGGGTGACAATATGGCCGTCTACAACTGAAGAGTTATGGATACATCGCCAGTTCTGAGGGTGACAATATGGCCGTCTACAACTGAAGAGTTAAGGAGACATCGCCAGTTCTGAGGGTGACAATATGGCCGTCTACAACTGAAGAGTTATGGATACATCGCCAGTTCTGAGGGTGACAATATGGCCGTCTACAACTGAAGAGTTAAGGAGACATCGCCAGTTCTGAGGGTGACAATATGGCCGTATACAACTGAAGAGTTATGGATACATCGCCAGTTCTGAGGGTGACAATATGGCCGTCTACAACTGAAGAGTTAAGGAGACATCGCCAGTTCTGAGGGTGACAATATGGCCGTATACAACTGAAGAGTTAAGGAGACATCGCCAGTTCTGAGGGTGACAATATGGCCGTCTACAACTGAAGAGTTATGGATACATCGCCAGTTCTGAGGGTGACAATATGGCCGTCTACAACTGAAGAGTTAAGGAGACATCGCCAGTTCTGAGGGTGACAATATGGCCGTATACAACTGAAGAGTTATGGATACATCGCCAGTTCTGAGGGTGTTAATGGCCGTCTACAACTGAAGAGTTAAGGAGACATCGCCAGTTCTGAGGGTGACAATATGGCCGTATACAACTGAAGAGTTAAGGAGACATCGCCAGTTCTGAGAGTGTTAATGGCCGTATACAACTGAAGAGTTAAGGAGACATCGCCAGTTCTGAGGGTGTTAATGGCCGTATACAACTGAAGAGTTAAGGAGACATCGCCAGTTCTGAGGGTGTTAATGGCCGTATACAACTGAAGAGTTAAGGAGACATCGCCAGTTCTGAGGGTGACAATATGGCCGTATACAACTGAAGAGTTAAGGAGACATCGCCAGTTCTGAGGGTGTTAATGGCCGTATACAACTGAAGAGTTAAGGAGACATCGCCAGTTCTGAGGGTGTTAATGGCCGTATACAACTGAAGAGTTAAGGAGACATCGCCAGTTCTGAGGGTGTTAATGGCCGTATACAACTGAAGAGTTAAGGAGACATCGCCAGTTCTGAGGGTGTTAATGGCCGTATACAACTGAAGAGTTAAGGAGACATCGCCAGTTCTGAGGGTGACAATATGGCCGTATACAACTGAAGAGTTAAGGAGACATCGCCAGTTCTGAGGGTGTTAATGGCCGTATACAACTGAAGAGTTAAGGAGACATCGCCAGTTCTGAGGGTGTTAATGGCCGTATACAACTGAAGAGTTAAGGAGACATCGCCAGTTCTGAGGGTGTTAATGGCCGTATACAACTGAAGAGTTAAGGAGACATCGCCAGTTCTGAGGGTGTTAATGGCCGTATACAACTGAAGAGTTAAGGAGACATCGCCAGTTCTGAGGGTGTTAATGGCCGTATACAACTGAAGAGTTAAGGAGACATCGCCAGTTCTGAGGGTGTTAATGGCCGTATACAACTGAAGAGTTAAGGAGACATCGCCAGTTCTGAGGGTGACAATATGGCCGTATACAACTGAAGAGGTGAGGAGACATTGACTTGTGACATGGTGGCCACAGAGGCCTTGCTTCAACCCTATACGCTAATGTTCACCGGTTCTCATTAACATAAAAAATAGGGGGGGGTGAATATATCATTGCCATCATAATGTATAACTACTCATCATGGGTTGCCCTCATAATATGTGGTACTTCCTTATATTTAGATAATATAGCAATAAAGTGTCAACCACTTGATTATACCATCGTCGTCGTCGTCAATGAAAACGATGGCCGATTAATGAAAATCGTAATGTCGATTTATTACGTATTTGGTGACGTAATACAGGATGGGGCAAATAAACCCGATCTATTTTCTGCAGATTACTGTTCAGCGACAGGCTTTTAAGAGTGGTGGGGTTAGGTTCGTTGGAAAGCCTACACACTGCCATTATCTGTTGTCATGGAACATTTGTTGCATGAGCAACGCACGTTTGTTATTGGGTCGTATGTAAAAGGCAATGATACAGTCGTTAAAACTCAGCGGCATTTCCGTGCATTCTTTTAATTAGGTCGACATGGAAAGGTTCCGTCGCGTAGCCCAATCGTGTAGTGGGTTACTATCTTTAGAACAACAACTTCTGCGTTGAAAAAGAAGATAAAATTTTGCTATGATCTTAATAAACTTCATCCATATAGATAGATTTTAATTAATCTGATAACATTTTTTGATTATCCACACCCTGTAACATTATTTTTGCCACACCCTGTACATTCACGGGTTAATATAATAAAAACTTCGTTAAGATATATATTGTTTATTAGGAGTTGAACTACAATCCATTGTAAATAAATTTTACATTTCCAAAAATTTACTATGCTTTCGACTTCTCTGCTTTCTCCTTTTCAGCATCTCTCTTTATCCTGGAGTACGAGGAAATCATTAAATTTTCGTTGTTATCACAGATGGCTTTAGATGCCTTCGGCAATGATCTGTACAGCTGATTGACGACCGCCACCTTGAGATGTTCTTCCGCCTTGAAACAGAGAGCAAATCAACTATAAGCCTGTGTAAGGTATAAGAGGTATGAATGAGTTATTTTAAGGTAAATGAAAATACATAATCATTCGTTGTGTTGTCGGTAAATTAAAACAAATCGTATAGAAACAATAACTACAATTAGTCAACTTTTCCATTTTATAACTTTAAATTCATCGAACGAAAAGTATTCGTAGTTCTCTTAATTAATGAAATTATTGTTGTAGATATATTTAGAAAACTGATAGCCAAGTTTTTTTTGCACTTGAGTTTCTGTAAGTTTAATTTTTTTACCCAATCTGAAGGGACAAGAGGGTGACTGTGGCTGGATAGGCCAAAGAAGAGAGACTATGTATTTTTGCCATTTGATGGGAGTAGTATCAGGCCTACCATCAGAATATACATAAATGTAAAAATATTAATCAATGCTGAGAATGTTACTGCAATTAATAAGGCATTCAATGAAACAGAAATGCACCAAAATTAGTATTTAGAATATTATAGCAAGCTATAAATAAAACATATTTGATCGTTGTACAAAAATGTTGTAGATAGTTTCAAAAGAAATCTTAAAACGACTTAAACAATATAAATTTAAAACAATTTACAATGTACATATTTCTATTTTTGTTTTGTTCATATGTGGAGTAGTTCTAATAGTACTACACAAAATTAGGTCAAGGATTATTGTATTCTTAAACTGCCGTCTTTTATAAAAGTAGGTTACTTAAATTCAAATTATATCTAATGAATTACAAAAAAACTATTAGAAGCCTTGGATCCAGCGTGACAAAAGCGAACTTGAACAGGAGTACAACTGGCCTATCTAAAAAAAAAAACTTATGAAAGACAGACCTATTACTCATGAAGGTTTTTACGTTGAAAAACTCTCACCTGTACAAGCTGTAGGATCTTTAAATTTTAAATTAGGTATTATTTTTTATCATAAAAACATTTTTTGCAAAAGAGTAAAAAAAAGAAAATGCATTTTGCAGCTCTTACCGGACCCTCTTCCTTTATAAAGTAGCGCTTAGAGAAATACTCCCCATTTGCGTTGTCTTCTACCTTTCCATTATCAGATATTTTCCTCAAATCAATCTCTAGCAATTCCAAGTCGGTGACCTCCACGTCGTACAACCTCAAGTAACACCTAAAAGTAATAGGTAAACAGGTTAAAAAATGTCTATGTTTCTTTCATGTTGTCTTTTAAAATTCCAAAAAAACATTCAATACGACGTGTAATACATTCAATCAATGAATATTATCTTTGACTCTAGAGACGCCATCCTGCATAAGACGTTGTACTCCAATGTCGACATCAGTTTAGCATAGTCATTGAAAGTTGACTTTGCAAGTAGTCTTATTATCTTTTTGTGAAATCATGAGTCTGTACGTCTTTTCACGTAAATGATTGTGATGCTACAAAAATTATTTTGAGGATTGTTGAAAAATAAATATATAAAAACTCAAAACGCACGAAAATCCATAAAGTTGTCTGAAATATATGATTTTAAAATAAAAATAGACTTAATTCAATTAAGCCCGCCGTTTGAATGTTCTGATATAAAATGTCATTTCCATTATAATGCTCATACCATGTAAATTATACCACCCTAAAAATTGGTACTTGTTTTTATAGTTCGGCCGCTTAAAGACCTCCTCCAGCATTGGTTTAGCATTAGCGCGCAGGTCGTTTTCTAAGCGGCCGAGCTATAGTTGGAAATTCTTCTATGGCTTCATGGACTAACTGAACTAAAATATTGCTGAGCAATAAAAGAAACATAAGTTCGATAGTTTTGATATCATACCTCTCGCCGATCTTTGGCCAAATTTTTAACTTGAGTATTAAGTTGTTTTTTGAAACTCCAATTGAAGCGGGTCCATCGACAACAATCACACCGTATTTGGTTCTCATATGATCAATTTTAATTTGTAGGTCAGCGAAAGTAACAGACACCATTGCGCTGGGAGTTGGAAGTCCTAGGAAACCTGAAGTGGACGAGTTGTTAAGAAATCATGCATATTTAGGTCTACAAGTTTAAATTACTCAACTGAGGAACTATGTCAAGTTATATTTTGGATGTGGATGATTCAATGGAATAACATAAATTATTCGAAAATTGCAGTTTGCACTACCCTTTATCTCTGGGCCCCTTTACTAATGGAGATTTGAAAGGTTGTAGGTAACCAATGTTTTCTCCTCCATTGGTTTTTACTGGACGTAGATAGTTTAAATAGTTTCAATTGGTCAAAGAGCACAATACGTTTCGTGTCAAGGTTTATTCTTTTGGCTAAATATAACACTAAAACGATGTAGCAAAATTTTCTTCGTAAAAAATATTAAATAAGAGGATTTCGTTTTTTATATAAACTGTGTACATATTTATAAACTACAACTGTATACATCACTACAGAATATAATATATACAGCATATAATTGTATAGTAGTTTATTGTTCAAGCAGTAAACATTTTTCTAATCTTGTATTAACACATTTTAACTTTTAACCGAGATAAAAGAAAAAGGGAACTGTAGAGTAGGACGGACTCTATTAGGTTGATTGACTTTTGATAGTAAATCAAAGGTCAATTCTTCAAAGAAAAATGCGTCTTCTGGTGTTGCATATAACAAATAGACAATAGGTAAATCTTTATTGGACAGATTGTTAATTTCAACAAAATCTAAAAACCAGTGATAGCTTCCCATTTTACATTTTGATTTAGCACGATTTTATGAAAAGGCATCGTGTTTTAGGACTTTCCATGAGAAAATTGCCAATTCGGCTGCCAACCACAGTTCGATATCTGAACAGAGAACTTGATGACAAAGCTTACACTGTAGTGTTGACTATGGACACATGGAGACAATATACCTATATCTACCTCATATATCTCACGAGGTGTAAAGCTACTTACAACTAAGTATTTTAGCATAAGTATGTCTGATTGAAGCATTGGTAGATATTAAATGTGGTGTACCAACCAATGTAGTCGCAAACAAGTCATTAAGAGACGACTTTTAAACCATGCTTACTAAAAAACGTATATTTTCAGTTTATTTTTCCAAGGGTTTTCATACTGGATTTGTATGACTGTCTTTATCCACGAGAGCTGCTAATCTAAACAATAGCATCACTCTTAATGGACTCTCTGGATGTTAAACTTACAACAACACTTTAATAGTTACCCTTAGGAGTCCAAAAAATATTAATATGAGTATTCGGAGTGACTTCCAAGGTGTCCAGTCCAGAAAATTTAATGCCATACATTTCGAATTGCTCTACGTTATCTTCACCAATATCTTCAACTGGTATCGTTTCAACCATAAGTTTTCTGTCGTTCTCGATCACACCTCTAAACATCCTTTCAATCCTGTCTCCAAATAAAAAGTGAAACAGGTTCGTCATGAAGCTTGATCTACCCGAAAGGAGTCTTGCATATCTACAGAAAAAACACACAATGTAAAATGTTTAAATAAAAATACAGATTCTTTAAGTGTTGAACTAAATATTTTATGTATATCATAAATAAAAAGTATTATGCCGAATATGTGACGCTTAGCGCCACTATTATATCGTGTCACACAACGAAATCGCCGGCCTTTCCGATCAGCGTGCTTCCTTCGGTCTGCCGCTTGCTTTTTTTCCGAGAAACGGTCAAGGAGCTACGGATTCGAGATTTCCTCCGTCTTGTCTCTTGCCGTCTCTCGTTGGATTAGCTGCCGATCTCCATTTTCTCATCTCACCATGTCCTGGTTAAATCAGAATAAGTGCTTAAATATTAAGTAGTGCTAAGATTAAGATGACAGTCTAGATTAACAATTTAAGGGGAAGTCGGCAGGCTTTCGCCCCATTCACAGAAATGTAAATTCCAAAAATTATGATTACCTCGCTTTACGAGGTAATTATTCCTAGACATGCAATAGTCACCACGTTGAAAATTCAAGTATTAAATCATTGAGGAATCGCCTTAGGAGTCCAAATTGGTTCAATAAGGAGTTAGGGAACGCAATAGACCTATTTTATCATCATCTCAATTTTCACACTATTTAGCAGTTTAGTTTGGAAGGTTAGCTATAGTTCTGCTTTCTAGTTAAATTATAAGTAATCAAACCTGGCTTGGCCTGCTTCTGGTCTGGGTAAAGATTTCCGCCCTCTGGTTCCCCCAACAACGTTTCCTATTAAATTGTCATTTTAAGATGGTAGTAGAGGATAGCACGTTCTTAATTGCAACATGCTAGGGTCGTCTAGGCCCTAGCACCACAGACAGGCAATTACCTACATATTTCACTCAATTACAATCAATACATCACATCACCACAGAATGCATACCCTAGTTCCGCCCCAGTTACCAACCAAAGGCTACAAATAACAAAAATACGTCTTTTAACAATGTTAGACATACTTACTCTCATTCTGTAGTTTTACAAGCAGTTTTAGTTCAGTTTTTTACAATAATTTAAGATGGTATACGTGTGGGGTCGTGACTGGAATAAACCCAGCCAGATCCACACTTAATGAAAAACGTGCTGATTCCACTTCCCCATAGCACTCACGAAAACCCTGCTCAGCGTAAGCCAGCTTTGATAGGTCTCAAATAAATAGATTAACTACATTTTATTTTATTCTAACTACTCCTCGCCATTGTGACACGCCTGCAGCAACTTGCCCTAAACATGATATCGATAATTGTTAAGTTTAATTTAGTTACGTCAGTTAATTTATTGTTGGTTGAACTCGGCCTAATTTAGAAAAGATACGATTCCTCCTAACCCCTTTATCCCACAAAGATTAATTAACTAATAATACATTATGGCTACGGTACTTTACCAAACGAAGACAACTTAGCTCCTAGCTCCTTTCCATATCACGGTTCCGCCAAGACAAACCTGCAGGCCCGTCCGTTCCTCGTTTCCCGGCAGTAGCGCTAGTGTCGCAGGTGTCCGACTACAGTTCTGCTTGTCGTCAGATCAGCTGATGGGGTTGACTCTTACCTTATTCTTTGATTGGTGGCGGTGATGTGGGTTATTCCCACATACGATAAAGACCAACTTGTCACAGTCACACTGGTCCCAATAAAAGACTCTCACTAGCAATACGTATTTTATTGCATCCGTAAAATAACACCAACACATACAATTCTAATAAAAATTAGTAAAAAACTATAGAGGATGGTCTGCAGTCTGGCTCATATTCCTCCTGTAGACCAGAACAAAGTGAAGCTTTTGGGGATTGTGTTGAACAATAAGTTATGTTGGGATCAGCACATCGACCAAACTATAAACAGACTCTCTCGTGTCTGCGCCCTTCTTCTGAAGCTGAGATCTTTTGTGACTGAGGACTACCTGAAAATGGTCTACTTTGCCTTGTTCCATTGCCACGTTACATATGGACTGCTTCTGTGGGGACATTCTCCAGGCACAGTGGAGATTCTCAAGATGCAGAAAAGGGCCTTAAGAATCATCACCTTTAGTGACGGACGGGCTCATGGTAGGCCCCTTTTCAAGAGACTAGGAATACCTACTGTCTTTGGTCACTACATACTCCTGTGCCTTCTTCATGTTTGGGATAAACATAGAGACCTTACATCCCGTGCCATGGTCCATTCCTACAACACCAGGCAGAGAAACATGCTGGATGTTCCCCGTGTTAGGCTTTCTAAGACAGCTGCTACCTATCAAATTCTGGGTCTTAAGTTCTTCAACAAACTGCCGATGGCCGTTAGGGACTGGAAAAGAGGTTATCTTAAGGACAAGCTTATGTCGCTAATGAAAGAGAGAGCCTACTATAGCATCTCAGAGTTCATGACCGATAAGGAGATAGCAAACATACGGTAGCCATCTTTCCATCATCCCTGGAAGTTTTTCTTTTTTTAACTTGTATATATGTATATATATTGTTTTATACATTGAACTGTTGTACACGTTGTGAAGAATTTTTTTTTCTTTTGTGCGTGCATAAGAAATGTTTTATTTATTTTTGACAAGACGCAATCTATCCCTATTTTGGGTAAAAGATGAAGAAGGAGTAAGTAAGTAAGTATAGCTTGCATTTAATAACTTAAGATATGATTTACTATATCTCCTAGGTACATTATTTAAAAAAATAGTTAGTTATTTGTGTAACTAGTGAGCTCTCGTGTGCAGCAAATTCCTACAGTCACTATAAAGCATATAAATAATTAGTCTTTCAAACACTATACAACACGTTTTTAGGTTCAGCTGGCAACACAAATAGGTGCCCTAGAGAAAGTAGTCACCGGTCCGTATCACTTCGCTATTTTTTCCTCGGCAAGCAATGTGCTCCGCGACTTGAGAAAATAGTTCCGTATGCTTTTGTAATTTGAAGTGGTTTCCGCGCCTAAAAATGCTTTAAAGGTAATTTCTTGTTTATTAAGATCGTAGGAATGTCTTAAAAACGTTTAAAAGAAAAGTCCAGAAAGTTCAGGAATACCGGAACTATAAACACGAAATGACAGGTTAAATCGTAGTTATAATAGTCAATCAGCTGCTCATAGTATTATTATTTTTAAGTGTTGCCAACCTATTTCCAAGCATACACGGATTACGTGCATAATAGAACCACGCTGTTTTGTGTTGTTTCGTTGGAATCCTGATGTGCGCCAAAGTATAAACCGTACGACAAAGTATGGATATGCAGCAATTACAGCTTTTTGTACTATAAACAGTACAAGGAAGCCAACTTTGTCGGGTGACTGTAGGAAAAAATAGATTAATGCAATAATACAAATAATATCAAATTTCACATACATTTGAGTGTGCACTCCAGTTCGTGGCATTTTATTTCTTTTATTTTTTTCGGCTCTACCCGCGAGGGAACCGACCGGTAATAGGGGGAGCTACTTACCCCACATATGAGCTACTTACCCTACATAGGAGCTACTTACCCTACGTATGAGCTACTTACCCTACATAGGAGCTACTTATTCTAGATATGAGCTACTTACCCTACATAGGAGCTACTTACCCTACATATACGAGCTACTTACCCCACATAGGAGCTAATTACCCTACATTAGAGCTACTTACCCTAAATATGAGCTACTTACCCTACATAGGAGCTACTTACCTACACATAGGAGCTACTTACACCACATATGAGCTACTTACCCCACATAGGAGCTACTTACCTACACATTGGAGCTACTTATCCCACGTAGTAGCTACTTACCCTACATAGGATCTACTTACTCTACATATTAGCTTACCTATTCTGTATATGAGCTTCTTGCTCCACAAACGGGCTACTTACCCAGGCAATTTGATTCCCAATGTCTCAGCATTGTCTACCAAGGTTCCAACCCCTAACCCCCCTAGCCCAAAGCCAAAGCAGTCAGCCCCTTGTAGACAACAGAGAGATAGAGCCGCTAGCAACAGTAAGTGAGGCTTCATCGTTCACACTAGGCCGGGCGTACGGCGCAAACAAAACCCACCACAAGTGTCCATAATTAGCGGTCTGTTCTAATACTATTTTATGATTGCACAATATGCAGTACTCTTTCTGTTCCATCGAAATATCAAGCGAATCATCTAAAATATTTTAGAATTGTTTAAATAGGTAAAGTTTATTTTATTTCTCATTCGAAGAAGAGAAAACAACATTTATTTTATTTTAAAGACCATCTTCAGCTCTTGTGTTTTGAATATTTAAGAAATATTAACCAATAATCTTCAAGATCTGTAAAGTTTAGACTTCTCATCCCATTGTAAATTTTGAATCAAGTTTTTCGTCTAGTTCATGTACGGTGACACTGGGCGCTAGTGTCGACGAGATTTTGTTTCTATTATTTTAGGGTTAATTTCTTGATTTGTACTTTGCTGTTTGGTTATATAACTAGGGGACAAGTTATTGTTTATGATTGCTCGTATTATTTGGTTAAACGAGGTTTTAAATTACTGTAATAACGAGAAACAAATTGTACACGACCTCTATATAAACCGGACAGAACTAACAATAAAATTGTCTTCAGCTGTTCGATAAGGATGAGAAATCTACGTTATATTTTAAATGTATTAATTTTTTTAGCTGAAAATAAATGTTTGGAGATTTAAGAATTTTTAACTGTTTAATCTATAAAAACCCTTATTTCAAAAAATGTTTCCAAAATTAATATTATTGGAAGTATTGACGATTTTATGTTTTAAAAATGACTGTATGTATTAGTTAAGTCTCGAAAAAGCTAATACGGCATATTTTTTAAATATATAACTGAAGAAACAATCTGTAGTATAATACTTACTGGTACTGCATCAAACGAGCGAGATTTGTGTAAGAAACTCAATTTTCCGGAACAAATCCACTTTATTTGCATGTCTGCTTCTGATAGTAGAATTTAGATGTATCGACGGAAGTCAACTTACGTGTTCCTGTGTACATTCTCAAACCCAATGTATTTTATAAATGTTTCGAAGAGCTATTATTCATATCTAATACAGGACTTGTACCATTTTTTTATTTTATTTTTTTGTTTTTTAAGAGGTTGGTGACTTTTTTAACGTAGCATTTATTTGCCCGTCTACATAGACTACAGATCTATGCGTGGAACGTATCCAGCAAAGCAAGGGGTGAGCCAGTACAATACGAAGGTGAACTGTGCTGATAAATTTTAGTAGCAATGACCAGGATCCGAACCCACGACATCGCTGCCTTGGGCCCAAAGTCCGTGACGCTACCAACTGAGCTACCGACTCACCATTAGGGTGTGATGATCAAGTTAAAGGAAACTAAATTATTAAAACCCTGAATTAATAAGTTTTTGCATCCTAGAAATATTAAATATTGCTATTCATAATTGAACGACCCAAGTGTTTTCTCATAATGGTTAGAAATACGTCGTTTTAAATTTTGAGAACTCGAGAACAACTGTATTTGACATCTTGATGTGTTGCACAAAAATCCATAGTTCGTTGTTAGAGAATATTTGTTCAATAATAATCGTAAAACCCTAATAAAACTTGTTGGTTTGGATTATGTTTTTTATTCCTATGGAAATAAGAATAACATTTAATCATATCTTCTTCTTTTTTCCAGTTTCAAGAATTTGAATTATATTAAGTTTACCTTTGTTGTTGTTGCCTGAAATGTTGGTAAGATGTTTGTGTCACCCGTTGACCCGAATGCGATACTAGTGACCGAGTGTGTTTAAATATGTTTGTATTTGTAGACTATAGTGTTAGTGAAAGAAGATTAATTAAGAAGACCCCTGAAGATGCCGCACAATGTGGAGAAATGCACATGGTGACACAAACATCTTACTTACAAGAACTCAGGCATCAACACGGGTTCATTTTTCGAAGTCACTTTTCTTCATAACAGGCGGTTTTTCGTGTCCCTTCAAGGCAAGAAAAGTAGATGGAGAAATCAAAGAAATGGATTGCCTCAGGGTAGCGTCTTATCCCCAGCTCTTTATAACATTTACACTAACGACCAACCGTTGCCAAACGCTACACGTCAGTATATATATGCCGATGATACGGCGGTGGCGGCACAAGGTAGGAGTTTTGAAGAGGTGGAACAGAAGCTGACTATGACTCTAAATGAATTTTCCCAATACTATGACGCAAATCACCTCAAGCCGAACCCTGCTAAGACCCAAGTTTGCACCTTTCACCTAAACAATAGAGAAGCAGCCCGTGAGTTGAATGTGAGGTGGCGGGGAGACCGTCTTCAGCATTGTCCTACACCCAAATACCTTGGTGTCGTACTGGACCGCACGCTGACATTTAAGGCGCATTGTATTGCGACAAGAGGTAATACCCGAGCGAGGAAATAATATCATCAGGAAGCTCACCAGCAGATGCTGGGGTGCTAATCCTAATGTCCTCGGAACCTCAGCTTTAGCGCTCAGTGTGTCGGCTGCGGAGTACGCTGCACCAGTATGGAATGCATCGTCACATGGAAAAAAGGTTGACATTGCAGTCAATGACATGGCTCGGATTGTAACTGGGTGTTTGAAACCAACCCCAATACACAAACTCTATCCTATCATAGGGATCACCCCTCCATCAATCCGACGTGATGTCGCTGCCGACGCAGAAAGGACTAAGCAAGAGACAGACCCTCGTCACCCATTACACGGCCACCAACCTGCAGAGCGACGGCTTCGGTCCAGAAAGAGCTTTTTATCACGGACACGAGTCCTGGATGGATCACTCTCAAGCAATCGGGTGGCAAGGTGGGAGGCCACGTTGACTAACCCTCCCATACCAGCCAGGGAGGAAGTGGATCCTGGTGGAGGCCCTCATTACACGGTGTGGAAGACCCTAAATCGAATTAGGGTCGAGGTACCAAAATGGAAGACAAACATGCAGAAATGGGGTCTCTTACCAGACGAAGAAAACATCTTGTGCGGGTGTGGTGCTGTTCAGGATCCTGGCCATCTGCTGATCTGCCCACGCCTAGACCAGTCTTGCACATTAGATGATCTTTTACATGCGAATGACAAAGCCATATCGGTAGCTAATTTTTGGAAAAGCGAAGTCTGATTTCCGGACACGGAAAGTAAGTATCAACACGGGTACATCGAGTACATTTGTTTATAGTTTACGACCTTCATTTGCGTCATTCACTTTAGACATAGAGCACGACTTTGCCTCGGAACTCTTTCATTCTTAGGGTAAACATTTTTACATTGTAATTCTAAAACCAGAATAATAATTTCTTAACGAATAGTTGAACTGGCAAGGGCAAAAATCAATCCATCTATATTTAATCAATCAATCTATCTATCTACCTATACTATTATAAAGAAGAGGTGGTGTCTGTCTGTCTGTACGTATGTGTGTTTGCATGAGAAATCAACAACTACTCAACCGACTGGGCTTAAATTGGGCAAAAATGGATCTACAGCTCCGAGGATACATATAGAACTATTGCCGCTTCAATATTGACCTAGGACTCTGACCCGCGGGCTTTTGAAGGTCCGAGGTGAGAGTTTTAAAAGTAAATATTGGTTGGTCTCCGTGGTAACAAAGAACCAACCCAAACAGTTTAAATATAAACAAGCAAAACTGTCAAATAAATGAAAAAAGTTTTATTTAATACTAGCTGTTGTACCCGTGCTTTGCGACGGGAAGAGGACACAAAATAGAAACATTTCAATCTTTGTCTCTGCATATGATAGTTACACATCCGCCAACGCTTTTAGAAACAAAATTAAACTTTTATGGCCTTAGAAACGTGTTATGACTTTTAAATGTGGTAAGTAGTGGATACCCCCATTTTGGTTTGGATTAATTTTAAATCTTGTGTAGGCTGATATGAGAAAAACTGACCAAATCTTCGAGTAAAACTTTGATTACCTTCATCTCCCTTAATTACACATCTTTTAATTTTATATTGACATTTTATATTTCATTTTTGAAGTTGCAAAAATACTAATTATTAAATTTAAATATCTTTATATTACTAAAGATAAACTCTTCTTTATATTAAATCACAAATCCTTTCATCTTCAGTTTTTTCACTCACAATTAAATCATTAGCAAAACTAAGTCAGCTGTTATAAACTTTAGAAAAATTGCTTTGCCTTATCAATTCAGTCTTTAGAAATATTAAAAAAAACTATATCTATAGGTACTATAAACAATTTCAAACGAATAATTTAGCATTAAAGACAGCAGACAAAACTAATATGATTATCAACGCATCAAGGACTAAAAAATGTAATAGCAAATACAGTATATGTTTCATTGCATCTCAGATTCTACTATACAAAAATATCAACAAACAACTATATGTACAAACCAGTTCTTTTAATCAGTTCCATCGTCCATTGCCTTAACATTTTCACACTTACCATTAAGTAAATATAGTGACAGACATTTCATTGATTTTAGAAACAAAAGAACACTGTTTACTGCTTAGTTTTATGATACTTTCCTTGGTTTAATTTAATCATTGGTGTGGCAAAACACAAATAATAAATGTATCAAATAACTGAAAGCTATGTTAAGATAAAATAAGAGTATTTTGTATTACCATTTGATAATTAAATTAGTTACACATATACAACAGATTTTAGAAAACAAAAATCAACGTCAATTTAGTTATTGATGATATTCTTTAGTTTAATTTAAGTATAGGTTATTTTAGCAAAACACAATAACCTAATTTACCTAAATATACATACAGTATAAAAAACAATGTGATGTGCAAGTTATGAAATAACTTAATCTAACACATGTAAAGCAGTTAGAATTTATTTAAAGTAGCCTCCAAATTCAAACAAAACATCTATACATTGTAATGTTCATACTGTTTCCATGAAAGCATATCAATAACATTATTTTCACTTAAGATTATTAACTTAAGACGCTTTAAAAAATTCAAAGCAGAGTTGGAGTTGATACAGCAACGGTTATAAAATCTTTTTTTTCTACAATCATTGACATAGTTTTAGAATAAATAATCCATGATAAATTGTTA